TAATCTTATATACAAATATGCTAGAACCTATCTAGCCACTCTTTTTTATATCTTCTCTATAGTTACGCTAGCTATAAATACTATTAGCAAAGCTAGAAGAGGGCTATAGGCCGATCTATAAAATACTAAAATCTACTTTAACTTTAAGAGTATAATATATTATATATAATTAATTACTTCCGGTTTCCTCTATTATAATTTATAACTATTATTACTATATACAGATTAGTAGAAGACACTATACTAGAGCTTAGAATAATAATCCTAGCTAAAGCTATTATTCTAGAAAGCATTACACCCACTAGAATTTGGATAGTAAGATAGTATAGCTATAAACTTATAATTTACTACTATCTTACGCTTTATCGTAGCATTCTAGACCTATCTTTATATACTATATATACTAGTAGCTAGAGACGGAACTTTAATAGTTACTTAGAGAATCTAAGAATACTCTTTTAACTAATATAGACTCTCTAGTATTCAATCTATTATTTACTTATAATTTATCTAGAAGAAATCTACCGTTTTATATTCTAGACTCTATTGTATATAAGATTTAAAGTAAGTGCTAGCTTAGAACTTTAACCTTATAAAGATCCTCCTTCTAATATCTCTTAACTATAAGCACTATAAGGTTTAGCTATTTCCTTATACGGAGCCTAAAGTTACTGGATATAATCTAAGATTCGAATCGCTAGAGAGGTACTCTATACTTTAGAATAGATCTTATAGTTAGCTTAGTAGATGTAAATAATAGCCCTCTAATATCTATATCTAGACTATTTAAAGAAGAAATTAGTAGCGTATAGTAGTTAGAGTAATAGCTTTAATTTGCTAAAGATACTCTATAGAGTAGTTCGTCTAAATATTGCTACTATCATTATAGTAGGAGTTACTATTAAATTAAAGGCTATAAAAGTGAGATAGAGGCGCTACCGCTACTAATACTAAAAAAAAAAAGTAAGGTAATTAGAGCTAGGTGCAAGCTAAAATAGGCCTATAGATAGTATTATAAGCGGTTGGATTATCTATAGAGTATTTAATGCGAGAGTTAAACTACACAATATTTATATATCGAATAATATAATAGTAATAATAAAAACAAGAACTATAATAGTATCTAGTATTATCTAACTATAAGATAATACTTAATCTAATAGTTATAATACTAGTTATAGGATAGTCTATAGTTTTAGATACATTTAAAGAGATTTAGATACTCTTAAAGCGCTTAGAGCGCTTATAGAACTTTAGTATAAACTAAGCGCGCGAAAGATTTGCTAATATAATAATACTAGAAAAAGATTACTAAATACTTCTAAAGTGCTATTGAATAAATATAAGAGCTTTTTCTATATCTACTATATTATAGTATTCTAGCTTGAGTCTATACTAATTTATATAGAAGCTATAGATCTATTAACTAGTCTTCTACTTATATTCTAAAGATATTCTCTATTAGAAACTTGTATAACTTTTCTTTCTATATAATCTGAGAAAGTTATAGCTAACTAAATTTAGCTAGATTTCTATAGATATACTAGAATGTTTTTAATATTATATATAAGATTTTTAAGATAGAAATAAGTAGCTTTAAAGTCTATTTATTTATAAAGAATTTAATAGTAGAAGTATATTAGTTGTAATATATTAAAGGTATATATTAGTTTTAAAGAATATTTATATATACTAACTAGCTATAGATACAATAATAGCTAGCTATAAATTTTAGAATAAAAGGAGAATCTAAAGTGAAGGATATTTTATAGACAGAAAATCTCTTTAAATATCTTAAAATATTTTGAAAGCGAAGTTGAATAATACTTAATAGTAGAGTGCACTAGTTAGAACTATTATTAATTATCTAGCCTATAAATATTACTAAAAATAGACTAGAAGTTTTTCTTTAGCTATACTACAAATATATAGTAATCTAGCTAATTTGGAACTAGAAGAAAAAAAATAAACACGCCTTCTAGTAGAATAGAAGTTAAATATATAGAAGGGTATTCTAGTAAAGAGAAAATGTAAGTTTTTAATTCTATTTTTTAAAAGCTAAAAAATTGGAAAAAAACTTATAGTCTAGCTAATAATATACCTATAGCTTTAAATATCTCTAGTAAACTATATATATTTCTCTATATCTAGATAATATCTTTCAATCTAGTAACTTTAGACTAAATATTTATAGTATTAGATTTAATCTTTAGTAAATAACTTTATAGCTTAAAAATTCTCTCTCGATGAATATAGTAGCTTATACTATAGAAAAAGAAGATAAAAGATATTCTACTATTCTATAAATCTAAATAAATAATATATAGAAATAATCTTCTAAATAATAGTTTATAGTATAGTATATTCTATCTACTTATATGTATATCTAGTAGAATTACAAGTATTAAGCTTTTTATAAACATGTATTATTTCTAATAAGGTAATAGATAGACTTTTAATAGTAGTAGTATATCCTATAGCTAGATTTACTTTTTCTCCTTTTTCGTCTTAATTTTCGTCTTTTCTTTTTAGAATATCTTAATTAATATAAGTTTAGTATAAGTTCTCTTTAATATCTCTAGTATAATTTCATTCTATAGCACTCTAGCTTCTAAATATTCTATTATAGATATCTTCTATAATATATTATAGTATATATATAAGCTGTTTACTAAAGATTATCTCTATAAATTATAGTTATATAAGCCGCTACTAGAATAGGTTAGATAATTAATAGATAGTAATATAGTAAACGTATACTAATATAGATAAAAAGATATATTACTATTCTAGATTTTAAAAGTTACTTTAAATTAAACCTAATTAGATGCTTTAATATAAAGTCTAAGGTAGAGGTATTAATAGCTTTTAAAGTACTAATAATTATAAGAATTAATAGAAGGTTAAAAAAGCTTATTTTAAAAAAATTAAATTCTAGAGAAAAGTACTTTCAAAAGGTATAGAGAGAAGATTTAGAAAAGAGTAGCTAGTTACTAATATTTAGAACTAGATTTATAAGCCAAAAATTTAAAGAAAAATATAATCTTTAATAAATAGAGATATCTACTACTAGAATAAATCTATATAATAAACGCACTCTTTAGTTTAGTTTTCTTATTACTAAAATATTAATATATGCGCTATATTGGAGCTATTAATATATAAATAATATAAGAATATATATAATAGAGCTACTATTATCTAGTTAGTTACTAGAAATAGTTAATCTTAAATCTAGTCTCTAAGCTATTAGATTTATTATCTTCTTAATATAAGCCTATTAGATAATTTCTCTAATTTAACAATACAAAAGCGTCTCTATATAATAAAGAGAATTCTATCGCTATAGAAATATAGAGAAATATTATAACTATTATTAAATTAATTGCTATTAAAGCAATTAGGTTATTATTCATCTTATAAATAGAATATTAGTTTATAGAGATCTAGATATACTAAATTATGTAAATAATATATATATAACTTTAACCTTACGTTTTAAATAGATTCTAATATCTTATTATTTATTCTATCTATCTAACTTCTATTATCTCGAATAAAGTATATTAAAAATTAATTAATCTATATTTTATTATCTTATCTTATATAATTATACTATAATAAATATATAGTTACACTTAGCTAGACTGTAATTAGAAGATTAATTAGCGGACTTTACTATACTAGATTCTAGCATTACTACTAATATAAAGAGAATCCCTTTTATTATAATTCTAAGATTATACTAGATTGATTTTTTATACATTCTATCTAGCTTTATCTTATCTTTTTAATATTAAATTTAAGTATTAATATATTTTTAGAAGTATACTATATAACTAGCTTTAGATTTATAAGCTAGCTTAGTTTTAAATACTATTTTAGAAATATAAGGCTATATCTATATACCTATATTATATAGCTATAAAGATACTTTTCAAAACTATCTACTAGCTATTCTAACATCTTTTCCATTCTAACTATTCCTAATCTTCTAGCTATCGATTCCTTTTATTATTAACAAAATTTCTTCCCCTAATTACTAAAATTTATAGTATATAAATAGCCTATAAAGCTTAGAGAATAGAATTTAAGAGAGATTTATATTTCCTATATTTATAAAGGTACGAGGAAGCCGTGTACGGCGTTAAATTTTAGTAATTGAAATTCTATCCTCTACGCGTCTGAGTATCTTAGCATATGTAGCTAGCGATAGCTCATGTCCTAGACGTCTAATGTTGGTAATACTAGCCCTAATACTATACGCGGTATAGTGTTGCAATGGTGTAATAAGAGGGAGTAGAGAACTGCATATAAATTTAGCTGGTGATCTCTAGATAAACAACGGAGACTTTTGCGGACAAACTATAAGTGGTTATGTTCCGTCTCGCTACGGAGCCAGCAGACTGACACCCCACTACGATCGATTGAGCCTCAGCGTTCCTCTTACACTCACAGGGGGTGTTCGGCACAGTTAGGCAGTTAGGCGGACGGGCCAGCCACGGACTGCTCTCTTGACCCTTGAGGGTGGCTGTGCCGAGACGTCATGCGGATTGATGGATGAAACTCCGCCCACTTCCTTCTCACGAGCGGCGCAGCTTCGAACAGTTTGTTAGGCTCACGAAAGGCTGAAATCGGGAAGTCGATTTAGTGGCTGAGCAGGATGCAGGGCTGTTGCCTTACAGTAGGGCTAGGCTTCTCGTGAAACAGTCAATATAGATTCCCATTCGCCCGGTTCCATTATCTCGATTTACCTCTGTCGCACTCCCTTGGTGTGACATGCAAATGCGATAATGGCAACTTCAACTCTTGATGCATGTATTGCCTCACAAACTATGAATCCTGCAGCGAAGCAGTCTATCAATGCTCCATACGCAAAACATCCATCGAGCGCATCGAGAGTTTCGGAATATTCAACTCCGGCAACCTCAACCCGGACCTCGAGTCCTCCTCATTTGCACGGTATACCTCCCGCTCCATCGGAGCAAACCCGACTGCAAATGCTCTGGGAGGAACGCATGGACCATCCTACGAAGGGCGTTTGCAAGGATAAAACCGCCGTTTTACTTCTGTCGTGGGAAAAGGACTACGATGATTTGAACACTAGCCCAGAGGTAGCCGCCCGGAACCTCTCGATGCATCTTAGAGCTAACAGTCTGTAGGTTGACAAATTGGCCCACGTCTTCAAGACCGTATACGGATATACTGTCGTTGCAAAAAAGTTGGGAAAGCATGGAATGCTCGCGCAAGTGCAGATGAACCAGATCCTCGCAAACTTCGTCGCAGAAGAAGACAGTCAAAATACACTGCTCATCATATACTACGCTGGCCATGGCTTTGCCAAAGATGGAGGGCCGGGAAAGCTCAATCTCGCCGGGTACGTCGCCAGAATTTACTTTTAAGGGCTGTCGTCATGTCCGACCTTGACTCATATTAACAAATTTGAACAGTAAACTAGCCGTTGAAGCCGCCGCCATAGACGACCGAAATCAGATCATCTGGGACGTGGCCGAAAACAACCTAAGACTGACGCAAGCGGATGTCTTCGCAATATTCGATTGCTGTTATGCCGGAAGATTGTGCCATGCCGGTGCAGACGGTCTCGGCCGGGAACGGCGTACTTTCGAATTCCTTGCTGCATGCAGCGCAGATGGTACAACGTGTAAACCTGGTCCCAAGTCATTCACGTCAGCATTGGTTTGGTCCCTTGGAGAATTTGACAAGCAGCGGCGCCATTTCCACTCTTATGACCTTCTGAAGATGATACGGCAGGCCCCAGATTTCCCGGAAGACCAGTTCCCTCCATTGGTCCCTCGTCTGGAATCTCATTTGGGCCATGTCATTTTCGCGCCTTCATCTGCAAGTAGAACTCCAGCGAGTGCGGCTTCTACGGAAGACCAGGAGGTCCCTAACACCATGGCCGAGGACTGGCTCGACATTAGGCTCTACTACGATCATCGCCTCACAGATGAACATGTTGCTTCGGTAGCCGATGCGTTGAAGTCCGCAAAGAGTCGCATGAAAGACCCTCCTCTGCGAATAGCTTTACGAGGCAAATTGCCTCTATTGCAGGTTGTTGATCACTGGCTTCAGCGTACGCGGAAAAGACCTGATCGCTACGCACCCACGGTGGCCTTGCTGAGCCCGGACGGCCAACATCTCAGTGTTCAGGATACCTGTCGGGGCCCCTGCCTCACGAGCTTCGGATCGACTCCATGGACACTATGGGCCTTATGGACTCGCTGCTGTCATCCATTTCATCAATTTGCCTCCGGAGTCCCTCGTTTGTTGCCACTGCTGCTCCTATTTCTGCTCCCACCCCTATTACTGTCTATCCCGGGTAATGGCCTCATCAGTGCCATATACTCATTGTACGATAAGTGGAAGGTCGGCCAGCTTGCTCAGGAGATGAAAGGAGTTCGATGAACAGGAAATTGAAGGCGATTCCTTCACAATGCTGCTAGATCCACGATGACCAGCTTCCAGTCAAGCTCAGGAAGCTACGGGGGTGGCGCTTCGCAGCGCTCTAGGTGGCATTTGTTGGCGGTTACATTGCTATTTGTGTCTTCCGTATGACGCGATGCTTGTCAGTGCAGCGTACTATAATTCCTCTTGCATGGACAACATGGTCCTCACATCCAGGGCCGATAAACCACGATCCCCGAACCTCAGTTTCTAACAGGTCGGCTTGTGATCCCGTTCAACGCATGATTACATAGTTGTGCAGAAAGCATATGCCTTGCATTCTTCCCGTCAACCCCGCTCGATGAACCAGTAAGGCTGGTCGACGCCGTACCATTGGGTACTCGAACCGATAAGCGCTTAGGCAGTCGTCTGCATTTGTTTTTATTGCTTGTTGCCTTCTGAGTTGCCTTGCGGTGTATGTGCAATACCGTCAACATCATGGGTCTATGTAACGAATCAATCTGAAGGTATAGAGGCCCAGAGGATCGCTTCTGACGTCTGCTTGCTCCAGCCCACTAGCGCGCACAGTGATTGAACACATAACAAGCGGCCTCCATCCCCTTTCAATGGCTCAAGGCAGTGCCCGAGGCAACGCCCGAGGCAACGCGCAAGGCAACGCGCAAGGCAACGCGCAAGGCAGTATTTGCTTCCGGAGCGGCAAGTCGACATATCTCCACGCATCTGGACGTTATGACCGAACAATCTCCTCCGCCGGTACTCTCATTGATAATTGGCTCGATGGCTAAGACAGAAGGCTTACGGACGGAAAGCAACCCAGCGGATCGCCTGATCGCCGCGCCTATGTGCAAGAGTCAAAATTCAAGCTGCCTGTGAGTAAGCTTTGATCTTGGACAATCGGCCTTTGCTGCCGCAGCTAACTCGTACAGCCTGAACCTTTGTTCGAACCAGACGACGATGTATGGTTCAGGAAGGATTCAAACATAGCTCAGTCATTTCCGATGAAAGTCTCTGAGAGGCATTTGTTCGATAAGAAGCATTGGAAATACAAACTAAAAGATAGTGATGGTGTCGAACACAACACGGGAGAGTGGGTAGATGAGGCTCGATTACGCCGTGCAGGGTAGCGTTCATATGCAAAGGCTGTAAGCTGCAGATTTACGGGTGACCGGGTAGTCGCGTGCAGTCAGGATTCTTGACAAGGCTGTCGACGTAAGGGCCATCTATAAGAGGCTTGCAGATCCAGGCGAAGATGAGGGCATGTCTGTTTTTGCTGTGAATGTAGCTCAAACCCTTTCGTTGACTTGACTGTATAACCTACGCCAATGGCCCCCAATCTTGACTATGTAGATGCCATGGAGAAAGGACAAGCGGGGCTCGACCAGATGGCTAGCTTGCCGTCCCCAGCATCTACTACGGAGACTTCCAAGCCGTTGGTCACTAAGCCGGACCAAACGCACAATCATCCCGCTTCACCTAGTTAGTTTCTCACGCTTCGGAGGTCTAAATGGAAGAATGTTAACCAATATTCGGAGGTCAATGTTTGCGACAATTGCGAAGGAGTCTGAGTTGCTGGCAGTCAGCACACAGAGCCTCTAGCCGCCAGACGGTTGTCAGACAATGTACGGGAGTCTCGTCGATATCTCTATCGATGCTGTGCACAACCTAAACGCGGGATAAGCGCTGAAAAAATTACAGTGGAAGAGTGCCCACGGGGTTACCCGAGCGTTGCAGCGTTCCTTGACAGTAACGAGAACTTCATGGTATATCGACGCTTTGGGTTCTTGCAGTCACGGCTTCTCCTCGAGAAACAAGACAAATTACGAGAACTGGAAGAAGACCTTGACACTCTAGATAAAGAGGAGTACAATAAACATCGATCGATCCCCACGACTCGCTTCAACACAAAGATCGATTCTGAGGCGCGAGAGTCACTACTTCAAAGAATTGAAGCGGCTTTCTGCACGTATGGTAAGACCTTTTAACTACCAACTGCAGCCAGAACCGTCTTTGCGACTCGGCTGACAGGCTCTGCAGCCAATATTCTTACAGCGGCTCACCAGTTAGTGTCTTTGAACAAGCCAAGTTCAGCCGAATACACAAGTGTCGAGAGGTACTTGGATAATAACAACCCTCTCCAGCAAGAGGAGGCGTCCTTTGTTTATCATAAAGAGGACCTCATCACACTGAGACCGGGAAGGGAACATGCTTGGCTTGATGCTGCAGTTGAGAAACTGCTCAGGTGGACTCACTGCAACATCATCGAGGTGAACTATCCTATTCATCAGACAGGAGTTAGGACTGTGCTTACTAGATATTTAGCGTATGTTCTGCTCTAAGGTATGTTCTCCTTGTCAGGGTCTACACTCTTAGCTTACTTCTGTCACCTCAAGGAATCCAAGAAAAAGTCCAAGGACCCACACAATGTCTACTACACTCCTGACCGTATCGAGCGCTTTGTGGTCGGCATCATCACCTCGATGATTCTTGTTCTGTTAATTGTCCCAATCTATTTCTTATACCACATCGTTAATGGACCAGCACGAACCACCAATCGCGCCAACGCTTTGTGCATGGGCATCCTCCTCGTTTTCACTCTTGCCTTTTCCGCCGTCATGTCATTCTTTACTAGAGCTCGTCGACATGAGATTTTAGCCGCCTCTGCTGCGTAAGCCGCCCCGCTTGTTGATCTTTCGGCTTAACAAGCCTATGCAAGCTGACCTCGTGTGATCACAGTTACTGCGCAGTTCTTGTCGTCTTCCTTGGCAATGTCGGCAACCACAACAACTGACGACAGGGTGTCCACTGGGTTGCTCAGGCGGGTGGGCGAGGTAAAAAGAGCCTCTAGCGAGGTTGTTAGATAGGGAAGAACCTCGAATTGCTTGAATCGCTCACTTAGCGTAGCTTTGAGAGCAGTCCAAGTAAGTGCGGTCCAAATGAGTGCAGTCCAATGAGCGCAGCCCAATGAGGGCAGTCCAGTGAGAATGCAGCCTAGTCTACCGTCTAACATGCGGTCCACGCGGTCTAAAGAATGGCTCAGCATTTACAACCCAGCAAGACTGGGCCAGTATTAAAGCCCAGCACGGTAGCCCAGCATAATGCGGTCTATCGTGCGGTCTATAATACGGCCCAGTTGCGGTGCAGAAAACAAGAGTACCGCGTTGGAGGGTGTGATGAATTGATGTTGTGGCGGGCCGACGTATCAGTTATTCCGAGTCACATGATAATAATCCTCCCATTGCGTTCGGTGTCGCCGGAAGTAACGCCTTTAGAAAACGTGTAGGTCCATATACTCCCCGTGAAACGCTCCACTCTTTACGTTTTGATGAATATAATTTCACAGAAGCCCTGAAGTCCAGCACATACGGCCACAGATCGAAGAGAATAGAGGATCCCGTCCTGAACTTAAGCTTCGAATTGGCGGGTTAGTAGTCAGGTGGGTGACCACTGGCGAATCCCCGCTGCTGTATGTTTGTGGCCACATATTTTGCTGGTTGTGGTGACTCCGGAACCGGCTAAAGTAAAGGCGCGGCGCTAGGGGCACGAACAAGCCAACCAAACTTCTTTCTTGTCTGGAGACGCTTGTGAGTAACAACAAAGAAGTTTTGGCTGATTTACATAGCGCTTTACGCATAGTCCAAATCATGGACAGCGTGCGCTGCGTGAGAAGGGCCCCTGCGATGGCCCTTCAGTAGCGCGCGAGAGGCATTCATACGCTTCTCAACTCTTCCGCCTGTATTGGACTTCCTGAATGGGTCGCAGCAGTCTCCCCCATGAAAGATCTCCAGGATAAGCTTTTTCGCGGACACTGTTGATGCGCTATAGTTCACAACCGCTGGTCATGACCTGGCTTCCCGGGACAGGCTGCTCACCTGGAGATTGGATGCTAAGGGAAGGAAGTGCGGAGTGCTATACTTGCACCAAGCCAACGTGGGAGGATGTGAGCTGCTAGACGATTCACTATTCGTATTACTATCCGCTGGAACTTACATCCAGGATCTTGGCGGATACTCCAACGCGCCGACATTCGCATTTGATAAATAGTACCCAGATGCTCAAAAGTCTTTTTAGTACTGTAACGTCATGCTGCTGAAGCGGCAAGACAGAACATTCAAACGTGTTACCGTTGGATCCATTCACCCGCGTGTATGGGCAATTTCCGGGCCAGAAAGAGAACATATCGTTCAAGGCCTATAACAACCAGCTTTGGCGCTGCTAACACGAAATGGACGCCGCGCTCTTGTAATCGCCTATTGGAGGAATCATAAGACTACAGCTTGAGACGCAGAAGCCACCATTTCTCAGCTGGTGCTAGCTAGCCGGACCGGATACACCGGATTTTCTATCAGTGACTATGGAAAGAAATTCTTAAGCAGCACCGATCTGACACTTTCGGTGTCGTTCAACACCAGAAGCAACCTCGGAGATAAAGGATTCCTAGCGAACTTAACTTCAACTCGAGGAGGGCCTGACACGACTCTTGAAGATACCATGGCCGAGTGAAGCCCATGTTATCCTAATCACTAGGTCTTTATCCTAGTGGACAGCAGGGAGGGTTGCTCTAGCAAATGCTGCTGATAATGGGCCCCACACGTTACGCTTGCATACCTGGAGCGCTTATTCTCCAATCGACGTTCGGAGCTTCGAAAGAAAGGAGATGTTCAACTCCAATCAGACAGTCTAGCCCGCAACAGGTACTCAACAATCGTAGCTGCATTGTTGACTACGTTTTCGGCCACATCGATTCATCGATATCAGGGCTCCGTAGAACGAGAGTAACATCGCGGTAATGTCGAGTATATCCATGCATCAAACAGTCCGAAGGGTGTCGTCAGCGCGGGGCTGTGGTCCAAGGATACCAAAGCCATATTCTGTGGTGGGCTTATAAACCCGCAGCTTTAGTGTCACGGAACGGAGCAGTGTCCATTGCCTGAGTCATGAATTATGAGTTATTACGCTTTTATATTATACATGCGAGTTGGCGGAACTAGCATGTTCCCGTCTCGCTGTGGGTTGGGCGGGTGTGGAAAACCGTACTCTCGTGTGCGAGATTAGACGAGCACACTCCATGATCATGTCTATGTATTGGATGAATATCCACCAATCCGTAAATTGTGCTGTGGAGCATCAGTCTTGCGCGCCTTTGAACCGCATTTGCTTGTCTTTGCGGGTTCTTCAGGGAGCGTTTGACGGTAGTTCCAGCAATGAGCGCAGATCCTATGAAGTTCTAGTCACATCCATGCAACCATTGAGTCTCATGTAACGTACCATCAAGGTCTTGAGTTTGTCTTCCTCTGGGTCATCGCTGTTTGCATCCCAGCCCAACCGCGCAAGTTGTAGTTTCCTTGATTGACGGCTCTGGACATACTGTAGACAAAGCTTAGCATCCTCTTGAGATACGGAGAGCCGTGTGCTCACCTGTTCTACGGTATTCTTCATGATGTACCGAACAACTGTGACTTGTTTCTCTTGTCCGAGGCGTAGAGCGCGACCGATAGCCTGGCTTTCAATGGATGGGTTCCACTGAGGCTCGACGATATGGATACGGCTTGCTACTGTGAGAGTCAAACTAGCGACCCGGTCAATCTACCCGTCTTCCTCACATATCCCGCGGACACTCACCCAACCGCGCCAGTGCCGAGAGTCATTAACAAGACCGGAACTTTCGGGTTCTTCTCAAAGCGGGCAAGCGTTCTTCTCCTTTCCGGTAACGATGTTGAGCCATCGATGAGGCCGAATGATATGTTTTCCGCGCTCAGAAGTGCGGCAATTATGTGGATTGTTTTCTTCCACGATGAAAACACAATGCTTCGATGGTCCCGACGCTAGCGGCAAAAAACACCCATTATAGTGGTTGACATGCCAGTAGAAGCTGTGACTAACCTCTTGTCACTATTTTTGTATTGCTTGATATCCTCTACCATCGTTTCCAGCTTAGAGCACATCCCTTTGGAAGCAGGCAGCCGTGTGTTCGTAGGTACCTTCAAACCTCGAGGCAGGCCCGCGCTACTAGATGTTGTCCGGCAGTCTAGACACCTGGTTTTGCCTCCGTTCCTCGTCGTGAGTATGTCTTGGTTGTTCTGCGAGATACATCCTAGGCAAAATAGATGACGGCAATCGAATATAATGCCGGAAAGGGGGTCATTCGCATCGTCTATCGATGTGATTAATGCCTCCACAGTGTTCTAAATCGTTCGTTCCCGCACCGAATAGTGTCGATACATGTGATATCGATGCCGGAACGTCGTTTCATCGATCGAATACCCCTACAAGGTGTTTAAACTGCTTTTGGCTAGAAATCACGAGTCTTGGCATAGTGGTTAAACCTCAGAATATTGAATTCTTGCTAACTGAGTACACAGAGCTGCTATCCCCCCCCCCAAACGTCCTCATCAATCCCCTAGACCTCATCTTGCTACCGCTTAGTCCTCCGCGGCGTTATCTACCACTAACAAGCCTCCGGCACCTCCTACCGCAACGCCGTGATAGTCCCACGAACGGATACACTAGGCAGCTTGAATAATGTTAGCAAAGAGGCGGTTACGGCGATCTGTGATTATCAATCCAGCAAGGCTAAAGATACGCTCTGGCTCTGAATTATTGCCATAATAGAGAAGATATCCAGCGCCATTCTAGCCAGCCTGGGGTAGCTACCGCTCCGTGATGCCCAGTAGGCGATAGGGTTGTCGTGGTGAGTACGCTCAAGGTTAATCTAGCTGCTATATTCGTCCTCCACGGCGGCACCGCTGACTGAGCTGAAGCCGTCAGCCATTGCTGCCTCAAAGCCTAATAACTCTCGCCGTCGCCGACATGGTTCTACAGCTTCAACCGGTAGCTGAGCATACTCATCCTCCCAGAGCTTTCGAACGGCAACTCTCCCAGCATTAATCCAGTCCTTACGATCGCCCCAGCGCTTCTTTATAAACTGCCACTTCATCCTAGGGTGTAGAATAACGGCAGCAAGATACACAGGGCTCTCGTCAAGCTTAGTGTAGTATTGGTTCGTCTTCTGCCATGCCAGTTCAATGTTGACGCGGAAATGAAGCTCAGGATGGTGCTGATATCTCATCTTAGCGTCCTCGAAGTGCTTGAGAAGATATTCGAACGCTGGCAGCACCCGATGAAGGCACCCTTGCTGTCCTGACTCCGGACGTCCTTCCAGATACCTTGTTACCTCCTCAAGTGGCGCGAGGATCGCCTGATACTGCACCAGCACCTCCCAGTCCTCGGTAGAGAGCCTATCCTGGAAGAGCGATAATGCGGGCGCATCAGGATGCTTCTCGGGATACCCCTCCCTCAGCTTCTTCGTGTATCAACGCGATTCGGCATCGATATAGTGTTCAATAACTACGCGCAGCTGGACGGCGCGGCGAATCATCTTGAACGTCGAGTTCCACCTGGTGCCATTATCCTGGACGAGATCCAGAGTTGCCCTACCAGTAGGATCGTCATCATCGAGGCTTAACTCCCCCCGGAACAGCATCTGGATGTCGTGAAAGCGTTGCTTACGCTGCGGTGACTTATAGATCCAGACAACGATGTTATGAAGCTTGCTAACAGGTCCCTTTCTACGCTAGAGGACCAGTTCGTCTAGTAGATCCTTCCTTATCGACACCTTAGCTTCGAATACGTCTACGTTCTCGCTGAACAGAGCTTGTCTAGCGATGAGGTTGATAATATGACTAACACAGCGTAGACGGCGGTGTCGCGCATTGAATCCGAACCTCTTAGCAAGCTCATTGACCGCTACATCGTTATTTGCCGCATTATCGAGCACGAAGTACCCGATCTTACGCTCGATCTTATACTCCTCAATAACCTTAGCGACCGAGCTAGCTATATTAATGCCGGAGTGGCTGCCCTAGTGCTCTGGGAGGGCAAGGAGGAACGTCTTCGGCGTCTTCTAGGCGTTAATAAACTGGACGACGATGCCGTTTAGGGCGACGAGGTTCCTGGACGTCTAGCTATTAAAGGACATATAGATTATTCCCGGTGCTGCCGCTAGATTATTAATAACGCTATTCTTCAAGCAGTGGTAGTCCTAGAGAATCTATTACCGCGTTGAATTACTATAAGGTATTAAGTCCTTAACATGCAGCTGGAGGTAGTAGAGTAGCTAATTGAATCTCTTACTCTCTAGCTTTATTAATAATACATTATTATAGACAATCTAGCGTGTTAATAGCTTCCGGAATATCTAATAATTGAATGTAATAGTAAGCTTGTTAATCACCTCTTAATTGTGAGGGTTATTAGAATTAAGACCTAGCTATTTAATAAGAGGAACGTCTAGACACTACCTCTTTATACCCCCTAGAATAACACCGCTCTTAACATGTAGATAGTACTCTAGTAGATACTATTTAATATTACTACCACTCTTATCTATTAGATATAAATGTCGGTAGCTAACTGGAAGTAGTATAGTATAGCACTCTTTATATAGCTAGTACCACTAAGTAGTTACAGCCTCCTTAATAGAATCCCTAAAGCTCTACTACTACGCTATAAGTAGGTAGTTTAACTAGAATAAGCTTATATGAAAGCCGCTAAGCTATAGAATACTCTAGTCTATCTAGAAGAAATCTAGCAGATATCTAATACCTGCTAGATATTGCTAGCTTACCTCTTAAGGCTCTATTTATTTACTAAAGCTCGGTAGGTATAGTAGAATTAGAGAGAGCGGTAGTAAGCTATAATACTTCTTTATCAATTAACTAAGTCTTATAAGATAAGAATATAGAGTACTAGCTTGCAGAAATATCTCCTATAATAATTAAGAGCTTAATAAGAGTTCTATAGTATTAAATTGTAAGATATAAAGAGAGCTTTAAGCTATGCTTAAGCTTCCTACTAGTAATACGCTAGCTAAGCGAGAGCATATAGTATTTACTTCTATATAATAGGAGCTTAGTAGAATTTAGTCTTCTACTAAACTAGCTATATTATTCTATCTATCTATACCTTATTATTATATTACTATATTAACTCTAAGAATCTATATCCTCTAATAATTCTAAATTCTCTACTCTTACTAGAATAGTAATCCGGCAACCTAATATATAGCGTTAATATAACTATAAAGTATAGGCGCTTTAACTAAGAAGTCTCTCTAATAAGATATAAGAGAATTAGATACTAATACTCCTTTAGTAGAAACACTTAAATAGTAGTTAATACGCGAGCTTAAAGCCGAGTGTACTTAACTTCTAGAGAAGAAATAGCTATATATTTTTTAGAAGGAGGTTAATATTCTTTACTAGTAGGATACTAGACGAGTAATAACTCTAGCTATTCCCTTTATTCTAGATACACTTCTAATAGGAGACTCGGATATATATAGGGCGGTAGGCCTACTATTAATTCGTAGCGCCTCTAGAGCCCTAATAATTTAAAGTAATACCACCTCTAAACTAAGCACCTTAACGTTATTATATAAGTATAACGCTAGTAGTATAGTAGTAGAGCTAAGGGCTTCTAAATAAGCCGCTATTATCGCGAAGATTCCCCTATACTTAGGGAAGAATATTTAGGAGTATTAAGACTTCCGTAATAGCGTAAAGCTAGTGTTTCGCCTAGCTTCTAATATCTTTTAAAATAATAAGACTAAGATTACCTATATACTTTAATATGTTAAGAGTAATACTTAAACACTATAGTTTTAATATAAGAAGGCTAACCTCGGACTTAATTCTATATAGAAAGAGTTGATAGCTTTTCTACTAGATTAGATTAAGAGCTCTATGAATAGGGAGTTATATATTAGCTTAATATATACGTAGGCTATATAAAAAGCAAGCTAGTTAGTAAATAGCTTTATAATATATCTCGTATTATTAGAGTTCTAAATCAACCCTCTCTATAGTTCTAAATACCTAGTACTATATACTCTAACCGCTTCTAGTACTATATGCCCTAACCGCTTCTACCTTTTATTCTTATTAACTAACCCTCCTATTAGCTGCTTTTACTAGTACTCTACTCGCACTAAACTACTTACGCTAGCACTAAATACTCGCTCTAGCGGAATAATATAATCTCCCGCCTCTAGAATTCTACGCTACTAGGTCTATCTATAGAAGCTTTTATCCACCAACTCTTTCTCTTATATAGCTCTTAATTAAATTATCGCTGCGCTAAAATAAATATAAATATAGATACATCTAGCGACTACTATATATTACTAGGCTACCTTATACGTCCTCCTACCTCTATATATTCTATCTACTACCTCTTACCTATATCTTTTCCCCCTTCCTCTATACATCTTAACATCCTATTAACCGCACTATAAATCTAGACCTATTTAACTACCTTCTAGACCTTAAGGTTCTTATTTACTAACTATATAAGCACGCTATTACTCTATTCTATATTCGGATCTACTTAAAAGACTATTATAAGAGCTATCTATCTATATAGCCTCCCTCTACTATAAGCCTAGCCGTAGCCGCTTTTCTTAAATAGTATTCACTTACTAACCCTAAAGTGGACTCCTTTAAGCTTCTAGCTCTATTCGCTCCTACTATTCTAGATATTCTAATCTTTAAGAATAGCCTACTATACCTATAATACCCCTTTATAGGGTAGAAGTAGGAGACTCTATAGAGGCACCTCTAAGTCTAGTATAAAGTAGGCTTTAGTTATA